AATCAGTACTCATTACTTATTCGTTTCGCTCCATAACTATTTCATATTTGGTATAAAACAGTAACCAATAAATCCCATTCACAAACGATACTTATTTGATGCCAAACTATTCAGAATGGATTACATAGTGAGAAGCAAAGTTCACTCTTGGAATTTTTATGATCATATTTTAAAGTTCAGATGTTGCACAGCTTTCACTCGAACGATTTTACAACCCAATAAAATACATAAATCTTACTGAACATTCAGTGGTACGCGACATTTAATAAATGTAATTATATGACGAAATAAGGCATCTCAATGAAGAAGCATATTGAAGACCTTGAACATATGACGGAAACAACTATTAATAAGCTAGTCAATAAAAGATTCTCGACCGGATATACCCACTAATAAAGCTATTTTTGATAAACTGTATTAAATATATTCATTTTTGTACTGTTTATTTGAATCTTCTCATTGATATTTAGGATTACAAATGATCAGTCTATTACTGGTATATGCGTATCCTGTGCTGATTGCCTCGATATTGCCTTAAGTCACAAGCGTTATAAGCAAGGATGGATGGTGGCTATTAGTAGGATCCAGGATGCGCGTTTCATCTTACTTGAGATTCGTTAGTAATATTTAAATTATTAAACTAGACTTTTAAGTTTTTGTTTCTAATGCTTATGGTTTGTTGAAAGAATAACATTCATTGATTTAAAATAACCCAAGCTCATGTCAATCAATCAATCAATCAAAAGTGGATATAACTATGAGGACTTAGACACTCAAAATCATTTGGACTCAAAAATTATTTCGTTTACTAAAAACCTATCAAAGATTTGCTTAATTATTCATTTTACACAAAAGCAACCGTGAAATACTAATTTTATACTCAAAAGTACACCATCACTTTTAGACGATTTGTTATTCTTATCAGCTAAGTCTCTCCACATGATTGATTATGCTTTTTTATATAAATAAACACACCATCCTTATAAAAACACACTTGAGCATAAACTATTTGATTATCCAGTTTTACTTGGGACAATTACTCCAATGTCATTTTGTTCAAACATTAATTCACAAAAATATGGGAAACTGTCTGCTTTTGGTAAGATAAGATCAATCTTTTATTTGATTTTAAACAGTTGAATGGAACACCAACTAGCTTTTTTGTGTATTATTCTGTAAGGATATTGACAACAATGTCTTTCCAAATTAGCTATGAAGATAGTTACAAATTCAGTAATAAAAGTTTCATTATTCTCAATAAAATGAAATTTTACAGATTACTGAACTTGATGTTCAATCCTTATTTCATTGTTACTACGTTCCGATCTGAATTTATATATAACAAAAGTGTAACATTTTAATAATCCTCACTGTATACCTTACTTTATTACGTTCAATTCTGAAAAAAACTGAAAATGTTACAGATGCGTGAAATTAAAATATAACTTGATATTTAATAATTGAAAGGTCTTACTACAGTAACGCCCAGAATTTATGCAGTCATTTGCAGACTACTTTACAATTGACGTTAAACCTTTTTATAAACAAATTAAACTAACCTGTTCTCCAGTTTTAAATACTTAAATGTTAAACCCATAAGCTAAAAAGATTACACTTAAGCCGTTGCAATTGCTTTATACTTATTTTTTAATTATATGATACAAATAATGTTCTTTTTGTGACCCTAGATAGGGGCGTAAGTTCGAACCCCATATCGGGGTCACCACTTTTGTACCCCCTGTATCTGACTTCAGGTGGATCCTATTACGATCGTTATTGAAATATACATATCGTCAGTCCTCGTATATAATTATCGACTTAACTTGAATTAATTAATAACAAAATTAAACAAATCAAATACGGCAATAATCATGATGTATATTTCGATAGCAATTATTTGATAGCAATCAGAAACGATCCACATGGAGTCAGATATAGGACCACTAAATTCTCCAAATAGTTTTATGCTGTTAGAAAAATTTATTGATATCGTTATCATTATGAAAGATATACTTAGAAGTAAATCGATAAAACACATCAGTTCGTCTCTGAATATACACTTACTATAAGATGATACAGTTCATTTGCCTCGTAAATCTGATATATAAAAAAAAATATACACATACCCAGTAAATACAACAAAGAAAAAACAATGAAACGTTTTTTTATATTTCTGAACGCAAATAATTTTATTAGTATTAAAATGTTTCTTTTTTTCAGTAGTTGAATTTATGAGTCATTTAAAGCTAGACCACCATAGACAACCTGGAATCACTGTACGGCCGTTCTGTCCCACCGTGGGACTCCTCAACGGTGCGTATCCACGATCCCCCTCGCGGAATTCGAGACCAGGGCCTATCGTTCTCGCACGCGAACGCTTAACCTCTAGACCACTGAGCTGGCATCCAACGGTGTTAATGTCTAGCATCACCCAATCCACGATGTGGCAACGGAATTACTATTAAGATGAATAACTCTCAACGATAATTTTTATCTCCCTGAGTGAGAACAATTTATCAACACTCTCCACAACCTTTTTTAGTAAAATAACATGGTGGTCGAGAATGCTTTTTATTTAAATAGTGAAAAAAATAGATGTAAGATGACTTTAGTATCATCGAAAATAAGAGGATATTTGCTTTCTTTTCCACATACGTAAGATTGCAAAGCGTCTTAAATTTAGCTGTTCAGGCTCCAAAGCAAAAAGCACCTCGAAAATCTCAGATATATTTATTTTATAAACTTTAACCAGTTAGATAAAATCAGTTTATTACTCCAACTCGACAAAACGGAACTGTTCGATAATGAATACGTCAACCATCACCAACATAAATTAACACTAATTGACATATTTTATCTTTCTCGTTAAAAATCAGACGAGAAATTTCCTAGTTGATAACAATCACTTTGAATATAATATACTATCTGTAGACTTATGCGTCTTTCCCAATCCTTAAATTAGAATCCAGGAAGATAGTTACTATATCAATATAACAGTTGAATCTGAAGACAAAATATGTTTCAGGCCTTAATGAAAAATGCAGTCCTCTAGTTACTTACAACTTTATTCAGTAAACATGGGCAAGTTTTTTAAGTTTCATAGACTTTCAGTTTTCAACGTAATCTATGTGAGATTAATTTTCATACAAATAACAAAAACATGGAAAAAATTTTTTAAATAAATTTGCCATACTAAGCATTATTTGCAGAATGTGCATTTTTACTTTCTACCATAGATCACTCACTTGATACTAACCAATTAATATCCAAGAGAATTGAAATAAAGTCTTTCCTAGTCTATATGTGAAAACCTGCATTACGTTCATTTATTGACAACTTGAAAAAAACTATACGAACAGGTCTACGAAAACATGTTTTGACCTCTTCACATTTGTCATAAACATTTTACAACTATCTTTAACTGAATTATCTTAATAAACAGTGTTGATTCAAAGTTAGATAGTTTCAGTGATTCAGTTTTACACATAAAAAGGGGGTTAATAGATTTGGAATTGAAAAAGTCATAGTCCTTTTATCGATCTGACCAGACCTCATGAAGCTGCTAGGTTCTTGGTTTAAGTGCCTAACTAATAATCCTGTGTTTAAATTTACGCTTATCTCTTTTCATCAATTTAGTCTGTACCAATGGTGGCATTAAATGATAAAAATATATGAATTAGTATCATTAAACACTTAGATTATTAATTAGAATTCCAAAAAATGTACACCTAGTACATGAACCTAATCAAAATTTCATGAAATCACTTAGCCAAGGCACATAACTACAGCGAAATTAACACAAAACTAATTCAATTTTCTTACTCCGACACGTAACTACTCTAGTTATTGAAAAATCTTTTTTCAACAGGTGACTTTACAACATTTGAAGGCTTAATAATTTTGAGAAAATATTGCTTACTTAAATACCTTCAATTCATTTGAATGATGACATCTAATAATAATGTGTACCTACCATTTCATTATCACTTAGCATCCTATAATTACATAATTTACTTTAACGCAATATCTTAGTTTATATTATAAACGTATGTTAAACAGATGAGCTTACCGATAACAGTTTGAAGGTTATTTTACCAGCAAAATCGTAATCAGTATCCGGATTAATCAGTAAAAAAATCGTATTAATTAGGTGATTTTGAATGTTATAGTTTGACAATATTAGGTGAACCTACATCTTTTATTTTATAGCATTTTAATATAACTATTTCTGTAAAACCAAACAAATTTATGAATGAGAATTGAAATAAATCACACTTGTTACACCATAGTTCAGTCTTTTCTAATTACCTCGACAAGAATCTCTCCAGCTACCCAATAACTTTTGTCAAACTTCACTAGAAAGACTACAATTTCAAAGCATTAAGTGCTCTCTAAATATTAGAAATGACGTTTTAACCATCAATATAACACGATATTTCTAAAATTGAAGAGAAATCGTTTAATATACAAGAGGAATTTCTCTCCTTCAAACTAAATTTCGTCTGATGATTCAATGCTATAATTTTTTAATAGATCATTCACAAATTAATGGGTCGCAATCCTAATTTTCTGGATAGTACTAATAAATCTAACAACACTTAAGATGAAACGAAATGTTTTATCGATACAGACAACGAAGATCAAATAAACAAGACATTTTGTTCTGCAGGTCGAAACTAGTAAAGAGATTCGAGATTCGTTAGGTAGAATTCTTAAAATATGTTACAAAATTAAATTTATATTTTGGGCAATTAGTTGGTTGCATAGAGTTGTGAAACTAGACTATAAGTGAACAGTCAGTTAAAACTTACTTACATTTCGCGATTGAAAAATAACCGGACTGTTTTTTCGATCATTCACAGACTTAGTACAGCTTATAAAGTGGTTAATAAGTACGTATATAAATGTTGTTTCGTAAAAAATATTCCTTGAATATAAGCATAAGCTACCCTTATTTAGTGCCACGCACTCAAACTTCGCTCCGATAATCAAAAAGACGGTTTAATATCGCTCATTTAAGTTATATTCAGTGAAACACAAAATTCTAATATTCCATAGACTTTATGCATTCAAACCAGTAGTTTTGTTAATTTATTACATCTTTAAATATAAAGAGTAAGTGGAATACATTACATTATAATAAGAACTGAAAATTTTTAATGCTTTAGTTCTCTCGTGTTTTTTCTTCAATTTCGAAACTGTTTTATATTATTAGTCATCATAACCAGTATAATAACCTCGGAAATTATCATCATTGTAATAGTTATATAGATCATGATTATACCATGGAAATGCTTCACGATTCATTGAACGCTTACCCAAACGTGAATCCCATAAATAATTACGTTTCATTATATGACGTCTGATGGGAGCAAATTTAGCAGGTTGTTCCTTTGCGGAAACGAAATTATCATCGGTAGCATCGATATGCTGAACATATGTGAAGGCTATAAAACAGATTGATACCAACACGTAGTGATGAAACATGATCTTGTTCGTCTACTAAATGTGAGTGTTTCCAACTTATGAAAATGAGCTGACAAACTGGATGTTAGTTATTTGAATGGATAATTTAATGTGCAAATGAATTGGAGACAATCTTTCAAGGTATAAATAGACTAGATAACGAAGCAGCGCATCCCATTAAATATTAAAATTGTTACAAAAAACCAATCAGAATACGCGATAAAAAAAACATCAAAAAGCGGAAACTTATATTTATGATTGGCTTGTTAACTATGGACCAATTAGAACAAAAATAATGAAATAAACTCCATAAGAATTTATTCATTGGGTGATGTTAGGACAAACTACTCAAAAATGATACGAAAGTGTTACTATTTGGGAAATTTCAACATTTTCAACTTGAAATAACTAAAAATATTAGTGGTCTACTAACTGAGCTGAGAAACTTGAATAGAAATTGACAATGAAGTATACGGAAGTAAACTTTATAATGTTCGATTTGCGATTACAGAATATGTGGGTACAAAGGCTGTGGTTTCGCGTAGCCGAAAGCAAGCAAACAGCCAGGGTGGTCTCCTTTTTAATGACAGTTGAATTGAAGAACATATGGAAAAACTTCAAAATCTTACAGCTATTCATGGGAATTTCGACTTCTCTACAGAGGTTACATAACACTAAGCTTGAATTAAATTAAAAGTCCAAAACTACCTAATAAAGGGGTAATAGCAGTATGGACTACAAATAAAATGTAAAGTATGATTGTAAAAAACAGCAGTTGTATTTTATAATACTAAAATTTATTCAGAATTTCACTGGTGAATGATAGTTAAGAATCATATCTTGATATCTATTTACTTGAACACGTAAAACATAGTACAAGGGAGCACTAAATACATATGCACCACAAAATAACAATGAGGTTGTGAAGAAATAGAGAATGTAAACTGCATATAATAAAAGAATAAGAACAATAAACATGAAATAGTATACGACAGTGAAATAATAAACATAATAGTAGTAACAGTCTGGTTAGAAAAAATACAGGAAGAAAGAATCCTTTAAGTTAGAGATGTTACGTTCAATTTTATGTATAAAGTAAAAAAAGGCTACAGCAGGATCGCCACTGGCTTCCACTCAGAGTCAAATCTGATAGCGTCTTAAGCCACTGTGTCGCACGATCTCGCACAACCCAGCCAGGGAGTCGTGAAAGACCAACAGAAGCCAGTCTTGTACATCCTTCTTCCTTGTCATGACACCATGTCGTAGACTGACCACCTTTCCACTTTACTCCAACCAGTCCCAGCGTCGTCAACTAGTGCACGATGTGGAACTCTCTGAGACGACATTCGTAAAGCATGTTCAAGCCACCGAAGTCAATGTTTCAAGATAGTGACAACAATTAAATTATCGTCTCTGTGCCATAACAGACGATGCCAGACCTCTGCATTACTAACAGGGTGTTGCCACTGGATGTCAGTAACCTTTCGGGGGCAACAATGATCAAACACAGAGAGTCGTCTAACATCCTCAACTCAGAGAGGCCAGGTTTCACAAGCATAGAGCAGAACTGCTCTCACCGACGCGTTGTAGATCCGACCTTTTACAGCCATACTAACATCAGGAAGGCGCCAAAGATGGCCCAGATTGGCATAAGCCGCTCTGGCTTTCACTATACGTGGATTGGTTTCATCACTGACCCCACTACCAGCACTTATGCAGGTACTCAGATACGCGAACTTCTCGACTACTTCTATCTGCTCACCATCTAGGGTGAGTACAGGATTAGGATGTCCAAGACGTCAGTGGATGTTGGTGATTGGCATCTCGTCATCTTCACAGATTGTTTCACTCACACAAGATTTTATGCTGCCAGTGACTGGGATGAGTCGATTGAGCTTCCTGCATTTACCAGATGCAGCTGCTGCTTCTACCCCACAAATGCCGCTTCCAGCTCACTAGCACGCTCCGACCACCAGCCGCAAACGGCTTCACCCGCCATTTTCATGGCGTCATGAAGTTGCGACCAATGCTCATCTATACTTTTCGGTGGAATAGTAGCTAGCCTAGAAGCTAGCTCGGTTCGATACTTAGTTGTAACATCGGCGATGACTGTGCCGAAAGTTAGTCCTAGCCAGAGACAGGTTGTGATCTGTGCACAGTTGCAGTAGACGGTCACCGTTATCTGACCTGCGACCAACAACTCCTCATTGGCCACCTAAACGATTCTTTTCTATGCCTAGACGCCCGACCTGAGCATCCAAGTCTCCGGCTAGTACTACAATATCCGTCGAACACACTTTCTGTAGAACAACTGTTAACTGGTCGTAAAGCTCATCCTTGATCTCATCTGGGCTGCAATCTGTCAGGGCATAGGCCGAGATGACGAAAAGAAATCGTTTTTCATGCCGATTTCTTCTCACTTTGATGGAACTTTCTGATCTAACAGCACATAACCGACTGTTAATGGGGATCCATAAGTGCTGGTAGTGGGGTCAGTGATGAAACCAATCCACGTATAGTGAAAGCCAGAGCGGCTTATGCCAATCTGGGCCATCTTTGGCGCCTTCCTGATGTTAGTATGGCTGTAAAAGGTCGGATCTACAACGCGTCGGTGAGAGCAGTTCTGCTCTATGCTTGTGAAACCTGGCCTCTCTGAGTTGAGGATGTTAGACGACTCTCTGTGTTTGATCATTGTTGCCCCTGAAAGGTTACTGACATCCAGTGGCAACACCCTGTTAGTAATGCAGAGGTCTGGCATCGTCTGTTATGGCACAGAGACGATAATTTAATTGTTGTCACTATCTTGAAACATTGACTTCGGTGGCTTGAACATGCTTTACGAATGTCGTCTCAGAGAGTTCCACATCGTGCACTAGTTGACGACGCTGGGACTGGTTGGAATAAAGTGGAAAGGTGGTCAGTCTACGACATGGTGTCGTGACAAGGAAGAAGGATGTACAAGACTGGCTTCTGTTGGTCTTTCGCGACTCCCTGGTTGTGGTCCGAGAGATGATACAACACAGTGGTTATGACATATGGCTCAGAATAGAAGCCAGTGGCGATCCTGCTGTAACCTTCTTTTACTTTCTTCATAAAAACTGGTTGTATCTTCCTTAACTGAAAGATTTCTTACGGTCATACCATTCCGTTTCCCCTATTATTATTATTATTATTATTATTATTATTATTACACTACATAACACTAATCTGGTCGTTATTGTTCTTTTTTCTTTTACACTCCTCACCTTTCTTTTTCTCTTCGAATTCTCATTGTTTTTTGTGGCGCATATATATTTGGTGCCCTCTTGTACCAATATTTATGAGTTCAAATAAATAAGTAAATAAATAAAGTACATGTTTATGATTTAACACCACAGAAAATATGTAACAAAATGATATGAATTTAAATGCACCTATGATTAAGTTTATTCTGAATCGTTCTAATTACATTTCTCAGTGCTTCTGTATTAGGGAATTAACTACACGGTCAGAATGTACTGGTAACACAAAGATTTTAACAAACCGAAGTGATTGATACTTCATAAATATTTGACTAGCAAATATCAATACGTAAATGCTGGATAATCTAAACTACAAATTTTAACCCCTTGGATTTTCTAAAAGAAAACAATTGATCTACTGGTCAAATTATATCAACAGAGATACTATCCAGATAATACTACGAATTGACTATCAAATAATAAATCAATAGTTAAAGTTTGGTAAAAAGATCAATAACATTTAACATCTGACTGTCATGTCACATGAAATTAAAGAATGCCGCCAAATAATTTTTCAAAGTGTAACAACTGGTACATACGACGTGATAGGATAGTGATTTCGTTCTATCAGTTCATTAGTTGCGTCTATATAGAATTTAATGGGCACACTTTTGACATGAAGTGAAGCTAAATGATACACATTTTATAGATACATTTTGTATTGTTTGTATCGTCCCATTGATGTTTAGGACCGCAATTGATCAGCCTCTCATTTTATAGATACTAAGAGTAATGCTAAGCTTTATGACGCTTTTACTGTTCACCAGTATGATAAGCAAGACTCGCAATACTAATTAATTATAATGCTAATAATTCATACAAAATTTGTAAAAGCAACCACTACGTAGCTGTAATAGCAGCAACAATGCTTTGCATATGAGGATGAGATGATGAGAAAACTCGAATCAAAAACTTGGGGGGTCGTCTATTTATCCTAATGGAGTATAGGGAAATCAGGGAAACGTTAAAAGTGGAGCCAAAAGATTTATCATCAAGTTAACAAAGTCCGCAAATAAACTGAAGTAACCACTAAAGGTAGGGATTTGTAAATATGTAATAATAAACGAGACGAATTCCATGAGATTTCTATAAACACAAAAACAGGAACGCTAACCTGAAAGACTGAAAACAGAAAAACGAAGCCGAAATATTTGCCATTACTACCTGTGATCTTCATCACAATAGGTTTTTTAGGTTGGAATTACTAACATCTAGAATGTTACGAGGACTACCAATTTTGTAGCAAATAAACCAAATGTAAAAAGTCTATATTCTTCAATATAAAATATTTACCATTCAATATTAAAGGGATTCAGATACTTCTACATTATTAAAATTCTTTTAACTATCACTAATATTCTAGACCCATATACGTTTATCATCTAACAAGATAAAAAAATTTAGTCTGTATTCTTTTAAAACCGGTTCGGTTATTTTTATTTGAAGGAACGACATAAATGGTACATAAATATATATTTATTACTGTTTTACTTTGAAAAAAGAAGACACAGAAATGAAGATTGAAAAATCAACACCATGATGGATGATAGTCATCATCGAACAGCATTACAAACAGATACAAAGCTCACAAGTACTCTCTCATTCCTAAGTACATACATAGACATGTATAGTGAATAGAAAGGCATAGAAGCATTATGAAGAACTAAATCAATAATGATACCTAATAAAATAAACCCGTAGATAAATATACAGTGTATGAAAATATAAAAACTCTATGAACAAAAAAGTTTTAGAATCAGTACAACAATTAACCTTGAATATTTCAGTTTGCAATAATCAGATAGAAAACAGGTTCAATGAATACACACTGACCAGAAAGAGATGAGGATGTAGAGTTAGTAGAAGGAAAATTAAGTTCTTGACAAC